GGATTCCTGTCCTATGTTTTTACTTCTATGCTGAGGAGCTTAATAGTGCTCCAAACTGTAACGCAGTCTCCTTAGAAAGCTGTGCTGAGCTTTAGTACAGTAATCGGCTGGTAGGGGCATGACTAGCCTGTTGTTATTGAGGCCTAGTAGCTGGGGGTATTTTCTTTGGGAAGGGGATATTCAGAGCAAGACGGGGGGCTGAATGAGCCCTTTGTCTTGCTGGAATTCCTTCAAGCAGCCAGCGAAGGGCATCAGGCTTAATCATAGTCCACATCCATCCACACACGTGACGTGCCCCGCCAGCACCCTGCTCACTGAGCTGTCGACTGTGTTTTTTTTAGGGCAGATGTGGTTTGGGAAGCAGCTACGGGCACAGGCCAGTGTTCATGAATTTGTGTTTATTTATGCGCGTCTGTGTGTTTATGTATTTTACAGGGAGCTAAAGGAGATCCGGGCCTTCCTGGTCTTCCAGGGCCTGCTGGATTCATTGGGCAAAAAGGCGACAGGGTAGGATTGTAAAAGCAGAAACTGCCAGTCAATTCAAAATGCAGAATAACCTATAAAATAATTTAGTAAAAGTTGTCTATGATCAGAAAAACTTACTAACATTAACACTCTGTTTACATACCATTTTACTATACTGTGCAGAGTATGAAAATGTATGCATGCATAAAATGGCCAGAATGTGCAGTATGCAGTAAATATACTTGGTATTACATCCTATAATGAAATTTGGCCTTCAATTTCATGTGATATAAATTAAATGCCTGATATAAAAAAATCTAAATTAAATAAAAAATGCTAATTTCCTGTATTTTTCTGATGAGACTGAATTAATTTTAATGTGGGTTAAATATGTTTAATTCACCCACTGAATTAAAAACGTAAAGTGGTGAGATCATGTGAATTTCAGAATTTGAGAAATAAGCTCTGTTACAAACATTATTCTCTTTACTGTGGATCTTTAAAACTAGATTTTCTGTGTACCGATATTTTCAGAAACAAGAATAATTAAAGAAAAATTAAAATCATTATATTTTACATAGCCATGTTTAAGATTGAAGATTAAAAGCACCTTAAAAGCATCTTATTTTTTATCATTCTTCAGGGTGCTGTTGGTCTCACTGGTCCAAAAGGAGAGCAAGTAAGCCAACAATTTTTTAATATGTAAAATTTTAGTTTTATAATATTTAACATACATAATTAGATCTATATTCTAATGCATGTAATGCATGTTTGTTTAGGGACCACCTGGTGAAGAGGGAACACCTGGAGAAAAAGGAGATGTTGTAAGTAAAAACAGCAGAGATATTTTAATGTTTTTGAATGTATTGGTTTTAAAGTATTCAGGAACAGGTCTTGACCCCCTTGCTGATCCTAAACTCCATGTCCATTTCATTTTGCCAGGGTGATGAGGGAGAGCCAGGCGAGAAAGGATCGGTGAGTTTGCTTTGAGAAGTGATGCTGTTGTGGTGATCTCTAGAACTATCCTATGAAAGTTAACTTAAACGTTAACTGAAATAAAATACAATATTAACAAAAAACGTACATTTGTTTTATTTCAGCTAGTTGCCAAAGGAACATTTCTCATTTTCATTTAGTTTAATTTGATGTACTTGAAATGAAAAAAATAAAAAATAAAATAAATAAATATATATACAGTGGGGCAAAAAAGTATTTAGTCAGCCACCAATTGTGCAAGTTCTCCCACTATTATTATTATTTTTTTCTCATTTTGTCTCTCATAGTTGAGGTATACCTATGATGAAAATTACAGGCCTCTCATCTTTTTAAGTGGGAGAACTTGCACAATTGGTGGCTGACTAAATACTTTTTTCCCCACTGTACATGTATTCTAAATATTAATAAAAACTAGAATAGTATCTCGGAGATATTAAAATCTTTCAACTGTTCTCGTATAAATCATATATTTCCAAAGTTTTTAATCCATAAGAAAATTAATTGCTGGCCTCTGTAGAAATGAATCAGTGTTTATGGTTTGTTGTGTTCAGACAGGAAAACCAGGAGAGCCAGGAAATAAAGGGCCAGAGGGTGGGCGTGGCCAATATGGACCAGAGGGCCCAGCAGGGGGGCCTGGCCCAAGAGGCATGCAAGGAGACAGAGGAGTACCTGGACTGCCTGGGGCACAGGGACGAACAGTACGCCGGTTTAATCATCTTATTACTGAGGCCTTATTTATGTGAAACTTTTATCATAGAGTTTTATTTCTGTCATTCCAACTGGATTTCTCTGTACTAAACTTGTTAAATGGTTGGCAGACCATCAGGAATTTTACATCAATGTGATCTAAAGTGATTTTCTAGTCTTTTCTACATGCATTTAATAAGGAAATCTTAAGTGTCCACAATTTCCCTCCAGGGCCGAACACCAACAGATGAACACATCAAGCAGGTCTGCATGAGGGTTTTGCATGGTCAGTATTTTTATATTCAAACAGATATCTACAAATGGAAGCTCGACTTGTTGTTAAATTCGAATGATTTTTGTTTTTCGAATGGTTTTTCCATTTTCCTCACAGGACAGCTTGCCCAGTTGGCATCCAGTCTGACAAGGCCAGAGTCGGGCATCACTGGGTTGCCAGGTCCTCCTGGTCCCCCTGGCCTTCCAGGGCCCGCTGGAGACAATGGCTTCACTGGGCATCCTGGAAGCAGAGGACTGCCGGGTCTCAAAGGCCCCCCAGGGCTCATGGGGAGGAAAGGGCACAAAGGTACAAAAAGACAATGTTCGACTCATTGCATTGTGAGGGTGAAAGATTTCCCCACACAGATTTTGCAAAGGTTTTCAGTTAGTCAAACAGATTTGCCACGTTTACCAACAGAAAAGTGATTGGTTTGAAAGCGACTTCAATGTGAGCTGTGCCTTACTTGACACTACACTTGACAATGGAAAGTGGACCAAAATGTAAATTTTGTTTTTATGTGATCCCACCGTAAGCTTAATAATGATTTCAGAAATACCATGCTTTTAGTGTAGACATGTTTTGACATTCACGTAAGCCAATCTGTGGCTACTCAAGACTACAAAAATATTTGTTTTTGGTTATAGCTCTAATATATACTGCTCCCACAGCAGAACAGCCTACCTAAAAAAGTTATAAAACACGTCATTTAAATTCATAACAATGCTCTGAATACCTTTCACCCATATGTTAACTGATTCCAAGTGGTGTCCATTCCAAATCCATTCCAAGTTTTGTTTCAGGAACCATATTTTACATCATTTGGTACAAAACAGTACCAAAATGATCTCAGAAAAGTAACAAAAATATCCTTAAGAGTAACAATGAAACGGAAGTACCAAAAAATTATTTCTTCTGTATTGTGACGCACATCCATGTGAAATGGATTATTGTGAAAAAATATACTTCTGTCCACCAGTTGTTGATTGGATGGTGGTAGATCTGAATGTGAGCTTGCAGTCAACTGTAAGAAATTATTATATAATTCACCAATGTGCCACGATACTGTGGAACATGAATTGGCCATATGTCGTTTGATGTCAACAACATCTTTTCCAGTAAAAATATATATGCATACATTAAAGGCAATCAAGACGTGATATCTTGTCATTCTGCTTTTCAAGTAAATCTTGATTTAAGAATGTTTAGATATGTGTACTCGTAACGAAAATCTTTTTTTTTTTGCAGTGCATCATAACTAATTATAAGGTTACCTGCATTTTATTAATGTCATTTAGCTTTGTTTTATTCCCTGTTCCCAGAACAAATCTGGGATTCTTTTTAGGGATATGAAGCACTAGCTGAGAGCCCTAAATGCTATATTACACTGTAAAACCTTTGCATTCTCCTTAATGTAGGTGATGAAGGGGACAGGGGAGATAGAGGGCCCACAGTGGTGGGGTCTAAAGGTATACCTGGACCACCAGGGCTCCCAGGTAAGAGCAAGGCCAACGGCTAATCTAATATCCATAACTGCATTCATCACTATATGTTAAATGATCTTTAAATCTCTAAATATCATGCCTCTAACTGCTGGCCTGTTCGTCCAACTGCTCTCAGGTGAGCCTGGGAAACCAGCATATGGCAGTAACGGGCGTGACGGTCTGAGAGGACCACCAGGTGTTCCTGGAATGCCAGGTGTGCCCGGGCCACCTGGTCCCTCTGGACCAAACGGATACTGCGAGTCATCTCAGTGCATACTTCAAGCAGTTGCAGGTCCGATGTCCATCAAAGAGTCCAACATGAAGGGACCAGATGGTCTATGAGCTGACAACCATCAGTGAGCCACACATCAGAGCCCAGTGTCTCTGGACAGGGAAACTTGAGAGACTAATGGAGTGACTCCCTCTACGAGGAGATTTCTGTGTTGATGGTATATTCAGGTGCGATTGTACTTGTCAAACAGCAGCGTGAAGTTGGATCAATTCATGTTAGGATTCCCAGTTTCATTCAGTCCCCTTTAACAAAGATAATTTTTTTAGGACCTACTTTTGTAGTTCTAATATTTATTTTAAGAATCAAAATAAACCTAAATTGCCCCATAAATAATTCAATTATAGCTTGCAAATAATGCATGCTCTAATTCAATTTTATTTGAATATACTTTGTGTTCTTTAGGTCCTGGATGCATACAGTATGGAAAATCATGCCGTCATGACCTGGTCACTTTACACATTAAAGGCTGTTAACAGGACTTTAAATCAGAAGGGGTCCTAAACTTTGTAAATTTGTCAATATTGCATTGTTAAATTATTTGCAAGCATTTTATTAAATCGTTTTCGGGTTGTTTTAACCTTGAGAGACATTCTCAGATTTTGTGAAAATGTATGTGGTTCTTTGCAGTGGGGGAGAGGTCTTGATGCTTAAAACTACTTAGGAATTTTCTATATTCTTTATTTATTGTTGAAAGGATTGATGTGACACCAACAGTTGTGAAAAGGGAGGAAAATAAAAGAATTTTGATAAAGTGCTGCATGTTTTTAATTTAAAAGTTAAAATCAAGCTTGGAAGAGGCTATATGTTCCTTCAGTGTATCTTTATTGTACTCTCAAATTGGCAAACTTGTAGCAACTTGTCTCTCGCTATACTAAAACACATATCCAATGATATAAATAGGTGCTTTAACAGTACACAATCAAATACCGCACAGAAATCAAGTATTGAAATATTAAGTTACGCACATCAAATAAAAAGGCATAAAAATACTGCAGACATTGAGGTCCAGTTTTAAGCCAAAACACAAACATCACACTATTGACATGGCAGTAATAGGTAAACAAAGTTTGGATAAACAACAAAAACTAGAACCCCACCCTTCAATATATTTATGTAAAGAGATTTTATTTTCCTCTATTTTTTTTTTTCTCTCTTCCTGATTTTTTTCTGCAAAAGGCATCACTGAGAAACCTCTCCAAATGCCACTGAGAAGTCCTCCACCAGACGGTATCTTTCTGCTGTAATAAGACAGTTATTTTAGATCTTTTTGGAGGCAGGCATTTATTACAGATAGACTGAACCATTTAGGCTATAAAGCATACTACGTGTTTGGCAGAGGTGGGATTTGACCATGTTTCACCAACCAACATAAACTTAATTGCAAGACACTAAGCTAATGTTCAAACAAGCACTTTACCTTGCTGACAGAGGTTCTCCACAGGAAATACATAAAACAAAGAGAAGGGAGAGGGACACTTGTAACGAAATAAGCTTAAAGGGATCGTTCACCCAAAAATCAGAGCTCACCCTCAGGTTATTCCAAACCTGTACGAGTTTCTTTTTTCTGTAACACAAAAGATGATATTTTGAAGAATATAGGTAACCAAACATGTAATGGTCCCCACCGAATTCCATAGTATGGGAAAAAAAAATACTATGGAAGTCAATGGGGACCATCAAAATTTTTTTCTTCCAAAAGATCTTCTTTTGTGTTCAACAGAAGAAATAAACATACAGGAATGAATCAACATGAGGGTGCGTAAATGATGACAGGATTTTCATTTTTGGGTGAACTATCCCTTTAATTTTTGTAACGGTATTTTCACAGTTACCAACTAAGAGAACAAACTACTTATGCTAGATCCAAACCACCATTACATATTTGAGAAAGGCTCATATGCAAGCTTTTACTGAATGCAGCAGTTGTTGCGGTGGCCGTTGGAATCCTTGAATCGAAGACGCATTTTGGGACGATATTTTTCCAGATAGAAGAGCTGCTTGCTATTAAATGCTCCTCGGCGCTTTCTGAAAAAAAAAGTGAAATGAACATTTCCCTTTAAGAATGGAGATCACATGCTTACTATTATTATTATTATTTAAAAAATATATAAGGTTATCTCACTGTCGGATGAACTGAACAGCATCCTCATATTTCATCCCACACTCAATCAGGGCCAGAGCAACCAGTACTGGGGCTCTGTGGGAAAGAAAACAACCAAGATTTCCATGCAAAGTTCAGAACATATTTTTATATGTATATTTTATTAATAGTTTATGTATTAATGATCTTGAATCCTGTAAAATTACCTTCCAAGGCCTGCAACACAATGCACTGCAATACAGCAACCTGGCTCCTCCCTAAACTTAATCCGAAGAAGATTTAGCCAATCATCAACGATTTGGTTAGGAGGAGGAGCTCCGTCGTCAAAGGGCCAATCCTGCACAACGGCAAAAAAATTAGCATTGAAACATCACCCGAGATAAGAACGGACATTTCTATTAATTTTCATGAAGGTGAAGAGGTTCATGTGGACTTACCAGAACCTGAATACCCTCTTTAACAACCAGGTTTGCATCGTACGTGGCCTCACACACTCGAACGACCGTGGTCACCCCATATTTCTTCAGTTCCTAATGGATGGGAGGGAATGTCATGTAAGTGATGTTTTGCAGTTACTGTAATTATGAACAGTTGTAATTATGAGGTTTTTATAATCGTCTTTCCAAAACAACACTTTTAGTGTGTTCAGACCATTTAAACCAACACTCACCTCAATGAATTTGTGAAGCGTGGCATTAGTGGGGTTGTGGGTAATGAGGAATCTCATGTTTTTGTAAGTGATCTCCACTGGGGCAGGTCTATTCATACGAGCCATTTTTGACTTTTCAAAATAGCTTAAAATTTTTAAAGAAAAATGGGAGAAACTCTCTCCAATAACAAAAGAAAATCTGTCGGATACAATTAGGAGAAAAAAGGTATGACCCAGAGGTGGGCGGGATTAATAGCAAAAATAAAAACCTTAGAAAACAAGGCTGGTCCTCTGGTGAGAGTGAAGACGTAGGGCCAACGAGGGCAGTGAACTTCAAGAGATTTTTTTTACCCCATCCAGAACCACCGACTGCTGTGGACGCCTGCTCTCCAAGCCCGATCCCGCCAACGTTAAAACTGTGACACAAGTCTCTCTTCTGATGAGGTAGCAAGGCTAGCCGTTCACTTCTCTGCATAAAAGCCGTGCTGAGCCTGGCAGTAGTCGCCACTGCCCTTCAGAAACTCCATAAATGTGTGACCCAAAACACCACAGAACTGCTGCAAGGACACAAGAACAGAAGCACAAGAGGTCAGGATCCATGACTTCATTGATCGTTTTCACCCTGATTTAAAGCAGGCATTTTTCTGCTTGTCCAGTTGTGCCAGTAGCTCATTTCTATTTGTCCCAGCCTATATTCATATATTACAAAAAGTGTTTTTTGTGAGTGTGTGATTTTATTTACATTCAGAATTTTACTTTTTTATTATTAATTGTATTATATTATTTTTCTATTATATTCATTTTAAAATTATTATATTAGTAGTCTACATTCACACACATGAATTTTTACTTATAAAAAAGTCATTTAAGTGATTTTCTAATTTTGTTTCTAATTTTATATGTATCAATGTTTTTTTTTTTTGGTAAATCTACCATAATTGCTGAACATTATACAGTAAAGAAAACAAACATTCATAGCAATTAATCCATGTCTAAACATAGTAACTGATTAGTTTTTCATTTTTAATCCATCGTTATTGATTATTCTTATAGTAGTCTACAAATATGATTTTTTTTTAGCTTCTAAAAATGTCTTTTCGAATGTATATGTATACATAATTTTATTACTCATAACGCATAAACTTTATTACTACTCACACATTCATAAACACATGCATCTACCTCTTTATTGTCTGATACCGATATTTTCAAGCCCAGTATCGTCGATATCGATACCTCTAAACTAAACTGATCTTTTAAATTATTAAAAGAATAAAATCAGTCATTATACTCACTCAACATTATATTTGAAAGCCATGTTTTTTTTTTACATTTCATAGGCCTTTTTTGTTTACACTGTCAGAAATTAAATGTACTAAAATTGTATTTTAGCTCTTTACTGGGGCAGTAACCTCAAAGGTGCACCTACTCTACCCCTAAAAGAGAGAGCATATTAGTACCATAGAAGTATGCATGCTTTAAGGTTAGATAAGGTACAAAGGTGTACCCTTGAGGGAACCTCATGAAAAATAACCATGGTGTTACATAAGTACTAAAATTTATTATTATTAGAGGTTGACCGATTAATCGGCCGATTTTTGGCATTTTTAATTTTAATTAATCGGCAGATTGTGCAGTAAATTAGGCCGATTTATAGGCAGGCGCATATTTGTGGTGGCTTGTCACAATATCAAAACTGACCGCCACAAATAGATTTTCCAAAAGGCTTATACTTTGTTGAATAAAATGCGCACTTCACGTTTCAAAATTAAAATACAGCGCGGGTGTTTTTATATGAATGTATCTTTGAAAAGAACCGACTGTCTTCAGAAAAGCTTCGATGTCATTTTCATTTCGTCTTTCCTGTAATGCCTGATAAAGTAGCGTTTGCAGCACTGATTTGATTACAGCCTTTACCGGGGAAACCGCTATATCTCCTGCTCCAGCAGCGCTTCCTGCTGGCAGAGAATTAATTTGCAGTCTGTGGTAAACACTGGTGTCTGTCAGCAAACATAAACAAAAAGCATCCTTCAGAACTGTTTTGAGAAGGTGCTTAAGTTTTGAGCCATGTATTATCACTCTAAATTGGGCTACTACAACTATTACTATCTTGTACCCTGCAACAATCATTTGCTCAAACTGACTTTTATGAGAGAAATAAAAAAAAAGAAAGAAAATCGGCCAAACATATCAGCCAAAAAAAAATAAAAATGGCATCATATATCGGTCATCGGTTGCCCTGATTTCTAAATATCAGCATCGGCATCAGCCAGTGAACAACCCATATCGGTCGACCTCTAATTATTATTACCATGGTTTTTGCTACAAATATTATGGTTAAAATAATGTTCCTGTACCATTGTAAATTTGAGGTTAATGCAGTTTTACTACAAATATTGTGGTAACTGTAGTAAAACCATGGTTCATTTTTGTAAAAGGCTGCCAGACTGTTGTACCCCTAAAGGTGAAACTTTAGCAGTTTTTTTCCCGACAGATTTTCTGAACTTTAAACGACTAGTTTAAATAAATTTACCTGCACAAACTAGCCTAATGAAAATAAATATTACATGTACACTATAGTGTCCAAAAGTTTGGGGTCAGTAAGATTTTGTAATGTATTTGAAAGAAGTCTAACAATGCTAACCAAGGCTGCACTTATTTGAACAAAAATACAGTTAAACTGCAATATTGTGAAATATAACAATTAAAAATAACTTTTATATTTTAATATATTTTAAAATGCATCTGTGATCAAAGCTGAATTTTCAGCATCATTACTCCAGTCTTCAGTGTCACATAGTACTTCAGAAATTATTCTAATATAATTTGCTGCTCAAAAAAAATTTCTGAGTATCATCAATGTTGAAAACAGTGCTACTTCATATTTGTGTGGAAACCGTGATACATTTTTCATAATTTGATGAACAAAGTTCAAAATAACTGCATTTTTGATCAATTTAATTCATCCTTGCTGAATAAAAGTATTCATTTCCTTTTTTTTTTTTTTTTAAATTTTATTTACGCAAACTTTTTGGGTAATTTTGCTCTGTAGAGGACATCGGGACTTTAAAAAGTCCTGTTTTAAAAAAAATAAAAAGACAAAAAGAGTGGGATTTTTGTTTTAACCAGAAATCAATTTTCATTTTTTTTATACAAAGATAATTTTCAACTATGTTATGAAAGATATTTTTAAAAACCATTTTTCTTTATGCAAAATGTGTGTAAAATGGCCATAAACGCTGAATAAAAGTATTCATTTCCTTTTCTTTTTTTAAATCTTATTGACGTCAACATTTTGAGTAGTTGTGAAATTTGTTTATTGTGAAATAATTGTTTCTCTGTCATCTGATAAGCACTGATCTGGGCTTTGTTTCCCAAATGCATCGTGAGCCTAAGCTGATCACAGAGACCAGTGGTGGCAATGGTTTCCTAAAGGAGACATATTATGCCTTTTTACAATATGTAATATAATGGCGCTTTTCCACTGCGTGGTACGACTCGGCTCGGTACGGCACGGCATGGTTCGGCTCGGTTTGCGTTTCCACTGCAGTTCAGTACCGCTTTAGAGTGGGCGGGATTATTCACATGTCGTTATAGTTGCGCCACCTCTACTACCACGACTCCTAAAAAAAAAAATTTTCATTCCGCATCGCCCCATCAAGCTCTCGCTGGATCCGCTCCTCTGCTATCAACGAGAGGAACGTCTGTACTTCCGCAACAGACAACAAAACTTTTTGGTTGTTAAAAAAAAGGTGCCCTCGTTCAAAACAGTTGCGTTCGATCCTTTGTTTGCGGTGCGGATTTAAATCTAGCGGTTCTTTTGTGTCTGTGTCGCAAGTTCAATGAAGCAGGTAGTGACGATTCTCTCCGGCCAATCCGTGATCAGTAGAGTTTACACGTCACGTTTTGGTAACGGTACGGTTCACTTGGAACCCCAACCGAAGTGGTACTAAAAAAAATACCAGGTAATAGGTACTGTACCCAGTGGAAAACCCCTCAAAAGTAAACCATACCGAGCCGTACCATGCAGTGGAAAAGCGCCATAAGTCTCTGGTGTCCCCAGAATGTGTCTGTGAAGTTTCAGCTCAAAATACTTCACAGATCATTTATTATATCGTTTTGAAAATGCCTATTTTGAGTGGAAGCAGAAACATGCTGTTTTTCGGGCCTTTCTCTTTAAATGCAAATGAGCTGCTGCTCCCCGCCCCCTTTTCCAGAATAGAGCTGCCATTACAGCTCATACCTGCTAAAAACATCTGTTATGTTTCTGATTATCATGTTTATCGCATTGAAATCATGCGTTTTAAACCATACGAGTTTAAACTTCTGATATACGGTTTTCTGAGCGCAGGAACAGAAAGCGGCTGTCACAGCATGCGAGTACTAAACTAAGTTCTCATTCGCACACAAGTTTACGTTAAAAGCACACGAGTCAGTTATGTCTGTGAAGGTATACAGCTGGGAAATAAATCGCATGCTTATTTTAGATCTGTGTGGCAGCAGCAATATACAGTAAATAAATCAATAAATCAACTGCTCTCTTGTCTCCTCTGAGACTGGGACTTTAAATAGTGCTCTGTGCTCGTCTGTGCAGTCAAAGACAGAACAGTTAGCATGTTTTGCTCAAACTTTTGCCATGGCATTAGAACCGGTACACCGTTGTCGCTTGCGAAAACACAATAACGGCGCCGTGGGTGGAAACTTTAAGATTAAGGGGCGGTAAAATTATAATGAGATCCCTTTGCCACGTCACCAAGTGAGAGAAATCAGACGTGCTAGTTTTCTCAGACACTTGCAGAAAAAAGCTTCCCAAAACAAAATTACTGGGTTAATCTTTTTCACGTTTCCTTGGTTGGTAGATGCACCGGGGACCTGATTATAGCACTTAAACCCTGGAAAAGTCCGATTTTGATGACTTGTCACCTTTAAGAGCTACTTATGTTCTGATGCTTTTGGGAAACGCAGCCCTATTTGACCAAGCACTGTGAGCGAAGTGTCAGCAGCAAACTCTGTCTGTGATTGATTGGTTCTGTCTTTCAGCATTTGCATATGTTCCGATGAGCAGGAGAAAGTGTTCAATCCTACACAAGTATTCGCTAACATAGTCTATTTTTCCACATAGAAGCTTATTCTATGCACCAAATTCCTTGCTAAATAAATAAAATTAATGCTTAAAATGCACATTAGAATCGATATTTATATGTGAGGATCGATCTTTTCGATTCAACATCAGTATCGAAAGTATCGATACTTCAGGATCGATCTGCCCATCCCCACATACATCCCTATAGGCCACTGGTCTCAAACTCAATTCCTGGAGGGCCACAGCTCTGCACAGTTTAGCTCCAACCCTAATCAAACACACCCGATCCAGCTAATCAAGGTCTTCAGGATCACTAGAAACTTCTAAGCAGGTGTGATTTCGAGCTGGTTGGAGCTAAACTCTGCAGAGCTGTGGCCCTCCAGGAATTGAATTTGAGACCACTGCTATAGGCTAAAGACCTGAATCACAGAGTTCATAACAGCATGAAAATCAACCATATCTCCTCCCTCACACAAATGACTCGGAGGTGAGTCAGCACGCGCACGGTATGTGGCTCATTGTTTCAGAGGAAACACTGGAGCAGGCGTGTGACCGCTTCGGATGTGCTGTGCTTTCTGGGAAGGCTGAACTCTTCATGTCAGTCCCGTGCAGTGTTGCCAACTTAGCAATTTTGTTGCTAAATTTAGCAACTTTTCAGACT